ACATATTAATTGAATTTTTGAGATTTTCACATAATATAGATTGATGATATTTAGATTCACTCCCCTCTCTGCATCCCCTCCCCACCACATGCAAGATCAAATCAGACAAAATCCCAACATAGACGGGGACGTCTACGGGTAAAGAATCCCAACACAACCTAAGGAACTTTTGAACATTGATGGCTGCTGGGACGGAGAGAGACAGTGCCTTACAGGGATGGGACACTTGGTGGGCTCAGTGGTTCAACCCATACCAAAGGACATTTGGGGACACACATCAGACTCTATGGGCCATATTATATGATATATGTGAGTTTTATACACTCAACAATAAGATGCTTTATTTCTGTAAAAGCTGTGTATGAAAAACCCTGTTCTTGTCTCTAGGATCTCAAGTCTGGCTAAGTCTCCTGATCAGAGCTCCACATGTTCCCTCTGCGATGGCTTCTCTGCTGCCTCCTTGGCCCTCAGATCAGTCCAAAAAGCCACTTCCTTGTCTTTCAGCCTCTGGGCTGCCTGGGTTGGGACTCCGATCTGCAGGTACCCTTCCTGCTGGTCGTACTGTGGCCAGTGGGGAAGCCCTTCTCCATTAGGGTTCCCATTCCGAGCAAAGTTGGCCCATAATTTCATCACCATCTTACTGAAGTTGATCTCCTCTTCTGAGGCACCATCTTTTAAAAATGGGGCCCCAAGTACAGAGAATAGGTCATCACCATGGTCTCCTATCACCTCCTTGGGTCTCATGTCTGATGCAAAGCTTGGTCTATACTGAAACTCATACATGTAGATGGGAGCTCCAGCATCTCTGTGGCCACAGGACACAATCACAGATGGGACACCAAACATCACATCTCTAATCAAGTGCAGGAACAGATCTTGCTTTTTCACCAGGTCATCTGTCCCCCTCTAAATACTTCTCCACAGCTGCTGGAATCAGATTCTTAGAGATGTTGAGAATGGAATAGGACTGCCCTCATTTTTAGTGATCTTGAACGTCTTTTAAGATGTTTCACAGCCATCTTTACTTCTTCTTTTGAGAACTCTCTGTTCAGCTCCTTAGCCCATCTTTTAATTGAGTTGCTTCTTGTCTTGGTTCTCTGTTTTTTGAGTTCGTTATAAATTCTGGTTATTAAACCTCTGTCGGATGTGTCGCTGGTGAAGATTTTCTCCCATTATGTGGGATTCCTGTTTGCTTCCTTGGTGGTCTCCTTTGATGTAGAGAAGGTTTTTAGTTACAGAAGCTTTTTAGTTTAATGAGGTCCCATTTGTTAATTCTTGCCTTTGTTTCCTGGGCAATTGATGTCCAGTTTAGAAAATCCTTTCCTGTGCCTATATCTTGTAGGTTATTCCCAATGTTTTCTTCTAATAGTTTCAGAGTTTCGGGCTTTACATTGAGGTCTTTGGGCCATTTGGAATTGACTTTTGTGCAGGGTGAAAAAATTCTTCAAAGCATAAAAATTTGTTCCTTAATAACCAGCAGATGTGAAAAACATCGCCACTGAAATCTACCTAACGACTTTATATCCATGCTCAGATGCTAAGGAGCTCAGAAATTAACTGACTGTGACTAGTAATAACCAGATATATAGAGATTAGAAACACATGTGCAAACATCTTAATGTCAATTGTATTAAAAATGATTTTTTCTGTATGAAACTGTGTATTTTAATAATGAAATGGAGATCTTTTTTAAAGTTTAAAACCTCATTTAATTTTCTGTCTTATAAGGTTTATACAGAATACAATGTTGTATAACTGTATTAATTCAACTGTAAACCTAAAAATTTACAGCCAATTTTGAAAGAGATGTATCTTAGCTCTGGAAATTGTTATTGAAGATGTTAAAGATGTAATGAACTGCTTCTTCTAAAAAAAA